GGATGGAGCGCTTAGAGGAGCGGGAGGTCCGCGGGCCCGTGGGCGACGGATTATCTCTCGCTGAAACCCTCAGATCTGCCCGAGTGCCCGCTGCAGAGCAGGGGACAACTGGGGTGGTTCGCCTTTTTGCAAAGGCTAACCGCGATCTTGCGCAACAGTCATGGCATCGCAATAACGACATGAACTGCCCGCGAGCAGCGCATTAACATGCTGGACCCCCAGACATGTAACACAGTGCCCGCGCCCATCATCCGAGGACAGGAAACCACCGCATCCAGAAACGCACAGTCGGAGCGCCGTCCTGATAAGGACGTGCTGCACGACTGTGTTGCTCTTTCTGTGAAGTTTGCTACTTTATACGCACCGCTCTGGAGGACCGGACCCAAAGAACGCCAGGCAAGGGAGAAACCCAGCTCGACCGTCTGCCACTGCGTGTACACACTCTGGACCGGGAGAATGCTCTCGTTCGCTCAGAATCGCTGGTCACAGCAGGAGGAACCCTCATCGACTCGATCAGAAAGTCTCTGAAGCGAAAAGGATAGCGTCTGCTGGCGCCAGGTGAGCTTATATACTCAGTTGATTGCTTATGCCGCTCACCTGCGCAGGCTTGCGCTGCCAATTCATTCTTAATTGGCCCGTTCAATACTCTTTCAGACGAGTAGCTTCTGAACCGAACCTCCCAATGCGTGGATTTTACAATCAAATCCACTTATAGTGCTGAAGTTCCCCCCGAAGGGGAACTACAACTTCAGAAGAGTTAAGAAATCAACATTATGTGGAATAACTAGTGGTGAAACTTGGTAATGAAAACATTTCATAATCTACCAACTTTTCATGTAATGACATTCAATATTTTAAAAAGTAAACTAATTAATGAATAAAAATAAATAAATTATAAATATAAAATTTAAGTAACACTAATTATTAAATAAATAAATAAATAAATAAATAAATAAATAAATAAATAAATGTGAAATAAATTAATTGGTAATGAAAACATTTCATATTCTGACAAATATTCATGTAATGACATTCAATATTTTAGAAAAAAGTAAAATAATTAATGAATTTAAATACATACAATGAAAATTAATTATTTTAAAAATAAATACATTTAAAAATTTATTAATTAATATTAAATTAATAAATTAAAATAAATTAAAAAAACAAATATTAACAATTTAGCCACACCTAATGAATCCAGGAAATTCACAGAAACTTGCATGTAGTTTTTTCAGTGAATTATCCAGCACTGCAGATTAATTTTTCACCTCAAGAAAAGTAGATAAGAATATCATCTGAAAAAAAAAACTAAAATAATAAAAATCTAAAATACCAAAAATATCTAAAAACAACTAGTGTTTGGGGTTGGCAAGTCTTGCTTAAGTCCATTATGAATGAATTTACTGTCAAAAAAAGAAAAAAAAGAAAAATGCATTATGACAAGAAATATTACAACCAAAAAATAAATAAAAACAACTAGTGTTCAAAGGTTTGGGGTTGGCGAGTCTTGCCCGAGTCCGATATGACTGAATTTACTGGATAAAAAACACAGCAAAAACAGTAAAACCCTGTGATAATTATTGAAATATTAGTTTTTTAATACATATGTTTAAAAATGTCAGTTAACATGCTTTATTTTGTTTATAACACAATAGCAATGTGAGAACTACAACTTCAGAAGAGTTAAGAAATCAACATTATGTGGAATAACTAGTGGTGAAACCTGGTAATGAAAACATTTCATATTCTGACCAATTTTCATGTAATGAAATTCAATATTTTAGGAAAAAGTAAACCAATTAATGAATTTAAATAAAAATAAGTGATAAATTAAAATTTACATAAAAGTAATTATTAAAAAAAAAACTAAATTAATTTAATAAATATTAATTAATTTAATAAATAAATAAATGTGAAATAAATTAATTGGTAATGAAAACATTTGATATTCTACCAAATTTTCATGTAATGACATTCAATATTTAAAAAAGTAAACTAATTAATTAATTAAAATAAATACAATTAAAACTATTTTAAAAACAAACACATTTAAAAGTAAATAAATATGTTAATATTAAATAAATAAATTAAAATAAATGAATAAACACATATTAACATTACAATATCATCTGAAAAAATCTAAAAAAAAACAAAAATATCTAAAAACAACTAGTTTACAATATTAAAATAAATAAATAAATAAATGATAAATATAATATTTAGTTAAAACTAATTATTTCAAAAAATAAATTAATTAAAAAAATAAATAAATAAACGTTAAAGACATTTATTAAAATGTATTAATAAACAAATATTAACATTTGACCCACACCTAATAAATCCAGCAAATGCAAAGAAACTCGTATTCAGTGTTGCCAGATTGGGCGGTTTTGAATTTGATTGTGCAGCTAAAAAATGGCATTGGCGGGTTGACAAAATTTGAGCCACTGGCTAGAGGAGGTGACGGAAAGTGGTATGAAAATCTGACTCCCCTTCACATGCAAATGCATCACACAGAGCCGTCAGTTAAACTTCCAAACTCACAGTGGCTTATCATAAACCTTACATCAAACTTTTATTTCTCAACCCGTCTGTGTAATCTGTGTGTAATGATAGTTTTAACGTACCGGTGTCTCCGGGTAGGCCAACCCCATTGGTCAGCTGACTCAGGGTGGCGCCGCACAGTAAAGCGGCCTCTGATAGGTCGATCTTCGAGGCCTGAAGTCTGAATTTATCCAGCTCCTGCGACAGCATCCCGAACTGCTGACTCTGACTGCGGCATTTGTCCTCCAGCTCGCGCACTTTTGCCTACAAACACACACACAAACACACATATTCATAAATATACAGTACTCCTAAATTATTTGCCCTCCTGTTTATTTTTTTCCCTAATTTTTGTTTAATGGAGAGCACATTTCTAATCATAATAGTTTTAATAACTCATCTCTAATAACTGATTTATTTTATCTTTGTCATGATGACAGTGAATAATATTTGACTAGATATTCTTCAAGACACTTCTATACAGCTTAAAGTGACATTTAAAGGCTTAACTAGGTTAATTAGGGTAACTAGGCAGGTTAGGGTAATTAGGCAAGTTATTGTATAACGATAGTTTGTTCTGTAGACTATTAAAAATATATATAGCTTAAAGGGGCTAATAATATTGAGCTTAAAATAGTTCAAACCTATGCCCTTGCATCACCAATCATTTATTTTCTGTTGCGGTCACATCCCCAGATCTAAAAAGATTGTAACAGTTATTTGTTATTTATTAAGAAATGTATCTGTACTGTATATGACATGGGCCTGTTGGTTAGAACGTTTCTGTAGTGGTTTGAATGTGTTAATTTTAAAAGTAGATTTAAAAAAAAAAAAATTAAATAAATAAACAATATCCTACTTAAATAATAATAATACAAATAACAATATTCATAATAATAATACAAATAATAATAATAATAATACAAATAATAATAATAATAATAATAATAATAATACAAATAATAATAATAACAATAATACAAATAATAATAATGATAATAATAATACAAAACAACAACAACAACAACAACAACACCAATAATAATAATACCAATAATAATAATATCAATAATAATAATAATACTAATAATAATAATAATACAAATAATAATAATATTACAAATATAAATAATAATAATAATAATAATACAAATAATAATAACAATACAAATAATAATAATAATAATGATAATAATAATACAACAACAACAACAACAACAACAACACCAATATTAATAATAATAATAATAATAATAATAATAATAATAATAATAATACCAACAATACCAATTATAATAATAATAATAATAATAATAAAAATTAATAATAATAATAATAATAACACCAATAATAATAATAATAATAATAATAATGCCAATAATAATAATAATAATAATTAATAATAATAATAATAATAATAATAATAACACCAATAATAATAATAATTATAATAATAATTATACCAATAATAATAATAATAATAATAATAACACCAATACTAATAATAATAATAATAATAATACCAATAAGAAAAAAATACCAATGATAATAATAATATTAATAATACCAACAATAATACCAATAATAATAATACCAATAATAAAAATAATAATGATAATACCAATACTACTACTACTACTACTAATAATAATAATAATAATAATAATAAAAATAATAATAATAATAACGATATTAAGTAGAACTTTTTAAATGTCTTAATAAACAAGCCTATTGTGACTTAGGCATTCAACCATTAACGATTTACATGATTTATATATGAGATTAGAATACGTGTAGCTGAGTGGTTTTATGTGAAATATTGTCAATAGTATTTGTAAAGGAAACACAAATAGGTCCTATATGTGTGTATATATTTCAATTAATATGAAATCTAATATTGGATTTTTTTTTTAAATGTGTGCGTGTAAAACAATATCATGAGCACAATAAGTGATATTTTTTTCTTTCTCTAAAGAAGTCGTTGCTCTGTCCTATTTAGAGCATCATTATGGGTCTTTTACGTTATAATTAATGTGGCTCAACCGATGATCTGTGACAGAGAAACTACGGGTTTTGGGAAACACTTTTCACTACATTGTTCATTTCCCAAACGATGCATCATACTATGATTGTTCAGCCACGAGTTACGTCGTTGTTTGGGAAACACACCCCTTATTTAAACATCTGTCTTCAACAAAATAAATGAACTGAAGAGAAAATAAACGATTTGCTGAAGTTACTAGCAGAATTCTTATAGTTGTTGTCCACTAACCATGAGTGTGAATTATTTTAAAACATTCAGATGATCAGTTTTAATCAATATTTGCATTATAACAATTCAAATCATACACAATTAACAGATAACTATTGACAATATCTACTCAGAGTAATAGTTAAACAGCATCTAGCAAGACAGTAAAGCTTGATAAATGAAAGCAGCGAGAAAACATGGT